GTGCATTGTTGTTATGACTCTTCCAACTAAAATTTGGGTGATTTCTCCAACCAGGGTTATATGTTTGGGAGTATGGGTTGTGGTTAGGCCTTTGGAAACTGTTTAAAGCATGAGCTTGTTCATAGAGACATTCCTTAAAAGAAGGCAAGGTTGGACAATTATTGGTTGAGTGTTCATTTGTTTCATATATTTGACACACAATGTTTTGAACAAATTTTATTTGACCACTTTTTCAATTCTAATGCCTTGACTTTTCTAGCTAAAGATGCAAACTTGGCTTGAAGATCATGATCTTCCCTAAGGTTGTACATGCCTCCATTAGATGTATGAGGTTGAGTTTTACTCGGTACCTCATAAGTACCCGCGGTGTCCCAATTTTGAGCATTTTCATCTAACAAGTCTAAGTACTTCATTGCTTCATTAGGATCTTTATCTTCAAAAGTTTCATTACACATCAATTCAACCATTTGTCTATTCTAGGTGTTAACCCTTCATAGAAATGTGAAACCAATCTCCATGTTTCAAAACCATGATGAGGGCAAGTACTAAGCAAGTCTCGATACCTATCCCAACATTGGTAAAATGTTTCTCCTGGTTTTTTAGTGAAAGTGGTGATTTGTCTTTTGAAAGAGTTTGTTCGATGAGATGGGAAAAACTTCTTTAAAAACTGTTGTTGCATTTCATCCCAATCACGAATGGATCCTGATCTCAAATTTTGTAGCCATGTTTTAGCTTTATCTTTTAATGAAAAAAAAAAAAAGCTTTAATCTGATGGTGTTCATGCTACAATTTAAATTATTATATGTGTTGCAGACCTCCTCAAATTCCCTTAAATGCAAGTATGGATTTTCCAATTCTAAGCCATGAAAAGAAGGTAAAAGTTGAATAATGTCTGGCTTAAAATTAAAATGAGATGCATCGGGAGGAAAAACTATGCATGATGGTGCACTTGTTCTTGTGGGATTTATGTGGTCTCTAAGTGTTCTCGCACGGTTATTCTCATTATTCTCATTATGAAGTGATTGATTATCTTCTTCGGCTATATTTTCTAAAAATGATGAATATACCCTACAAAGTCTACCACTTGATGTACGTAACCACACTCTCATGCACGTGTAGGAATAGAATAAAAGGAAAAAGAAAACAAAAGAAGAAGAAATAAGAGAAAAGAAACAAAGTTATATACAAGAAAAGTGAAAAGAGAAAATAAAATAAATATTATAATTTATACAAAACTTACCTCCCCAGCAACGGCGCCAAAAACTTGACACGACTAAAAGATTGATGTCTTCTCCCAAGTGCAAGAGTGTCCCGGCAAGACCGGGGTCGAACCATAGGGAGGTTAATTGTACAAATTATAAATAACAATAATACTAATAACAACAACAACAACAATAATAATAGTAATTACAATAATAACAATAACAATAATAGTAGTAGTAGTAGTAGTAGTAGTAGTAGTAATACTAATAATAATAGTAATAATAATAATGATAATAAAGAAAAAGAAGGAGAAGAAGAAGATGAAGATGAAAAATTAATGTAAGGATTAAACAATAATAATAACAAATGTCAAGGTTAGAGGATCCACTAATGGTATGTCAAACAAGTATAGTATAAACTCTTATTATTCAATTGGAAACCACACACAAAGGAGGTTCTAATCAGATTATAGATTGTTAACATGATTACATTAGTCATCTTATTTAATTAATGCTAATACTTGTAAATTTCGTCAAGCATTCATGATTATAACTTATGTTAACAACAAATCAAGTTCTTTTCATAGCTCAGATGTCGGTTATACCATATAGTATGGGCTATGAAAGTGCCAAGCATTTGTTGTACCAATTGTTATACAACATAAATCAAGATTAGTCATTTAACAAGCAGAGTATTAAAGAGTGAACAAGATAACAAATATAAAATATATTAGTATCAAACATTAAAGTCCATATTAAGTTTACACTATACTTATTCTAACACTATTAGTGTAACCTTTTCACCTTGACATAATAAACTTAACTAGACATAATGAAAGAAAGAAAAATAAATAAACAAAATAAGAACATAAATAAGATAAAAGTTAACTAAGTAAATGAAAGGAAATGAAAGGCATAAACTTGATATTAATAAAAGCAAAGCATAAACATTACAAAAAATACAAAGAGAGAAAGCAAAAGCATGATCTTGATCTGGAGACCAGGATGCCTAAATGCATGGCAAATGCCTCCTTTTATAGGCCAAAATTGGGAAATATTGATTTGATGACTAATTGATGAGTGGGTGGCTAACTCTTGACTTGGTGACAATCCTTATCTTCTTTTTTCTGCCCACAATGTCATTGCTAACATCAAAATTGGAGCCACTCGAAATATGAAAATTGTAGAAAATTGTCTCAGATTTCTTGTGTAAACAATTCAACTCATGTGGACTTCTAGAACTCCAGATATAGGTCAAACATTGAACAGTGCTCAGGCTGGAAGATAGATTCGGGCTTCTTTGTTGTTGCTCCAATTTGGATTTGAAAATGACCTTTTTAGATCTTGGGTGCCATATGAAAGTTGTAGGCCTATGTCTTACCTTTCTAGCCATATAAAGTGGACCTAAATATGAGATCTACAACTCCAGATATGACTCAATTACCGAACAGTGTTCCGGTTTGGATTGCACCAGCATCTCCTTTCTAAGTTTGGCCATCTCTTTGTCCGTTCAATTTCAATTCTTAAAGTCATCAATCAATCCTTTCATTTATGTGATAGGCCTGCATTTAAAATGAACATTTACCACAAATTAAAGGTATCTTATATTATTAATTAAAAATAGATATTTACCATAAATTATAGGTATCTTATATTATTATATATAATATTATAAAACATGCTTTAGTTAAGGAGTTATTGATACTTCAAGTGCAAAATAATGATATAAAACCATGATAAAAATGCACTTTTAAGTACTAATCAAACTACAAGTTTCCACAATGATTAAAAAAAAAATCTTTATAATTTTCACAAATGGGTAAGTCATCTGAAAAAATAAAACCATGTTGAAAAACTTTCATATTTTTCACAAATGGATAGGTCAATTAGAAAAATGAGACCAATGCTAAAATTCTTCTTATTTCTCAAAAACAAGTAGGTCACATAAAGAAATGAGACCTTGATTAAAAAAAATATAATTTTCATAAACGAGTAGATCAGCTGGAGATTAAGAACAATGAAAAAACCAATATGAAAGTACAAAAAAGCCCTTCAAGTCTTGAATTAAAAATTGTGGTTCGCATCCTAGTGGAGATGTGCATTGTGCAATTCATGATTTATGGCCACAATTCAATAAAGAACATGATCGACTTAGTCTTGGGAATCTGACTAAAAAAGACCATGTTTGCCGATTTTTAAAAAAACTGGATGGGAAGCCTATCCCTAACCCGTAAAGAGCATTTAAGTTGTTCTTAAACATAAAATCAAGAAAAGGAGTGAGTTATAATAACAATTACTTGTACATACACATGTTTTTTTTAAATAAAAATAAAATAGATAAATAGAAAGAAAGTGTGAGAGACTCCAGCTGACCTACATATAGGTGATATGATTGCATTTTCAAATTCTCATCTATAAAATCTTTTCTTTCTTCCCTTCATTTCTACTCAACCCATACATTCAACATATATAAAAGTGTGTAGAAATGACATGTTCCTCAAGTCATCACATAAAAAATATTTGTGTCTTCGGTGGATCCGGTACTGGGAAGGAAATAGAGTTTTTAGAATCAGTAAATTATTTTGGTCAGGTACTAGCTGAGATAAATATTCATTTAGTATATAAGGGAGACAACCTTGGGTTAATTGGAGGAGTGTCAATAACTATATTTTTAAGAGGTAGTCAAGTTTTGGAGGTTGTCCCTAAAGTTTTAGCATAAAGGAATATAATTGGAAAAATAATTGAAAAGGAACTACATGTCTATGTCTCTATAATGATTAAAAAAATCTTTATAATTTTCACAAACAGGTAAGTCATCTAAAAAAATAAAACCATATTGAAAAAATCTTATATTTTTCACAAATGGGTAGATTTCTCAAAAAATAAGACTAGCACTGAAAAATCTTTTTATTTTCCTTAGTCAAGCAGGATACTTAAAGAAATGAGATCAATCTTGAAAAACTTTCATGTTTTTTATAAATGGATAAGTCAATTAGAAAAATGAGACCAATGCTAAAATTCTTCTTATTTCTCAAAAACAAGTAGGTCACATAAAAAAATGAGACCTTGATTAAAAAAAAAATATAATTTTCACAAACACTGGTCACCTAGAGATTAAGAACAATGAAAAAACCAACATGAAGGTACAAAAAAGCCCTTCAAGTCTTGAATTAAAAATTTTGGATCAAGGGTAACATGGTAATTGGATTGTGCTTTCAGAAATGGAATTCCAAAAAAGCATTCACAAGGGAGTTGAATGGTTTTATTTCTTTGAGGGTTATTTTACTGTGAAAAAAATAATATAAGCCCCTAGTCAATTATAGAATAGCTAATGAATCCCGTAAAAAAAATTATTTTACCACTCAGCACCACTTCATTAAGTTGGTTTTGTTAAACGCAAAGATACAATTTTATAGTTCCAATCCACTAGGAACTACACATTGTCTAGTGTACTTTTGCCACACCAATTGTGTTATGTTAATCTAACAATCAAACCTGAAATATAGCTAGCCAACAAGAAGATCAAGGCATTATGTAGTACATAGCTAGCCAACGAGAAGGATCTCCATTCTTGATTTCTCTGGTCACCAAGGGGGTTGGAGTGATAAGGACCAAAAGGAGGTAAGCAAAGCAGGAACTAGGACACTTTTTTTAAATTTTGTAGTGATAAGGACCAAAAGGACGTAAGCAAGGCTGGAACTAGGACACTTTATTTCAATTTTGTTTAAAGAGTTGCCGAACACGTTAGTTTTCCTGCTGCATACGAGCTACTCTATAAAACCCTGCAACAGCTTGGATATTAAGCTTTTCACAAATCGCCAGTGAACAAACGGGGCACAATTTCATGATTTAACAAATGCCTGCGATTTGACAAGTACTGTCAATCTTATTCGACCTCCCAGGCATCAAGACTGAAGACAGAATAGTTATTTCCAACACAAACCAAACAATAACTTCAAATTGAAAAACAGAAGCAAGAATGATCTTGCAATCTCCCAGTTTTTTTCCTCTTGCTTACAGGAATATCATGCAACCACTTTTCTTCTTTTCAATTAAGTTTTTCTTCTTCTTTTTTTTCGTTTTGATCAAACCAGTTAAAAGTAAGGATTGATCTATTCTTCTGGCGACAGGGAACCAGTTCTGGATGTTATGAAGCAGCAGTTGTCTGCCGGTTCTATACAGGTCAGGAATAGGAGCTCAAACCTATTGAGTCACATGATGAGAGTCCAGTCTATCAGAGACAATGAACTTCAAACAATTGAACTCAGCTCTAACTTTGAGAGGAGAGATAATGGTATTTCAAGGAAATAGGAGGCAGTGCAAGTGATCCTAGTCCCCTCTTGACTGCCTCACCTGGCGCCTTCTCTTTTTCAGATCAACAACAATGATTGAAATGTTATCAGAGCTGTTTCTGCCATATGCTATTTCTTGGAGATTATCAGCAACGGTTTGTGCTGGTGAAAAACCATCAGATGATCTGCGCCACCTTCTTAGTATCCGGCGAGCAACTTCTCCCACCTCTTCATTTGTCATGACATCCCAAAGACCATCACTCGCCAAAATCAAGCATTCATCCTCATCAGTCCTAGTCATGAAAGTAACCTCAGGCACCGGTATTATCCATGGCCTTAAATAGCGATCACCTAGGACATGAAAGTAAGCTGCAATGAAATTCAGTAACTATTGTCCTTCTAAAGTAGTTAGCCAAAAAGGCAAGATGGATTCCCAAAAATTCTCGAAGGAGCATGTTTGATATTTCATATTTTGAGTTTATTTACGAGTACTGAGCCTTCCCTGATAGACAACAAAAAAACAATTAAACCACCACTAGAAATTAAAGAACACATAACTTTTTATACAATTTTCTTCCTTCCATGTCATATCATAGGAATCAGGTCGTTCAATATCATATTCCTTTCTAATTATAAACCACAGCAACAAGTGTTGGTGATTCAACAACAATAAGAACCCTCTTTCTCATTAAATAAAAATAAAAAAACATTAAGAATCCTCAAAAGAGCGTCAATTAACTACAAGGACAAACCCAACCAACGGCCTACGAAAATGGATGGGATCCAAGATGCCTGTCATAGCAGCACTATAGTTATAACAGACCAACAATAATGTTGTCAAGTACTTGTTTCGAGGATGGTGCATCAAGGAAACACCACAAGACTCGCAAAACTTCAAAAAGTGCACAACCACCAGAGATTCACATAACAAATACAATTCTTCTATACCATACCATCAAAATAATGGGAAAAAATGTCATTAAACGATTTACAGAGGGATGATCAGATCAATATGCAAGATTTTTAATGATACATTCAATAAAAGCCCTACTTATTCGTAATAATTTTGAAGCAAAGTGATTTATCAATCTTTCAACAGATAATGAGACAATCACACCAGGATCTCATTGTTGTGTGCAATTCAAACAGCAAACACTTGGCTTTAAAGTTGTCAATCACCCTAAGACACTGATGAACAAGTTTTCTGATCCAGTATAAACAACATTACTGATTGAGATGTGAAGTCATGAAAAGGAAACAGCAACAAAAACATGTTTTCAAATATGCTAATCAAAGGAAACATTACCTATGACCCAAAATATAAGTGCATATGTGTGCTTGTGTTTACCTAGAATAATATAGAATTCTATTTTTGTGTGCAGACAGGTGGTCAATTATGGTACTATATATGAGGACACAAAGAAACATGATATTATTTTGTCATGGCAATTCAAAACTACGAGAATTCTTAGTCCGAGTGTAGAGATTGACAATCCCGTGAAACTTGTGAAATTTAGTCTTCAGCACAACAGAAGAGGCATAGCTACCGGAAGAAGCAAGATAGCATAATCATGTCCACCAGTATACAATGATTAATCAAAGATAATTCAACAACAAGTGCAAAAGAAAAATAAATGTTCTACAAAATATGAAGAGGATATTTAATATGAAGAGACTTGTGGATAGAAAAAAAACCTATAGCTCTGGACATAGCAAGGACCCCAAGTACCCTAGCACCATTCCAGTTTATGACTCTCCCCCCTTGCCCTTCAATTCTCATTAGTTCATCACTTCTGTCAGGCTGAAAAAGAAACAATATATGTCCTAAATCTTGTTAATACGAGATAAAATTGTGTTAAGTTTTGAACGAGCACCTAGTATGTATGTGTGTATGCTGTAAACAAAGTATTTTAAGCCCTCTACATGGAAATGGACAATTTGACATTTTGAATGTCTTGCAGTTGTGAAGCCTTCCATTTAACCTTAGAAAGTACCCAAAAATATGCGCAGAACACTATATTGGAGGAACTTATACTCTATTTTGCATTTCATATATCTTAGAACTCTATTCTTCATTTTATTCAGTTGCCATAGGTGATGTGTAGAAGTAAATGCCACAAGTGCAGAAGACTAAGGGGTATCATACGGAAATTTACCGTCATCCAGGTGACCTAAAATAAGGCGTGGTGATGATTTAGATAAAGATATCAGTTCCAGTAATAGAATTCTTTGGAGGGGAAATCAGATAAACACTTAAATGAATAACTTTAAAAAATAATGCACAAAAAGCATTAAAAGATTCAGATATAACCTTATGGTCAACAGTAAGAGGAATAGCTTCCGTCCTCCGAAGAAGTACAGCCCTGGAGTCACCACAGTTGGATGTAATAATCTGACAACCAGATAGCACGACAACGACTGCTGTTGATCCCACCATTTCGGGTGCAACTCCCTGGGTCAATACCTCATTGTCAGCCCTCCCAAAACCACTAGAAAATGTAGCTTCCCATCTTCTCTGCCATTCACAGCCATGAATTGTTTGATCACGATCCCACTCTTCTAGTATAACTTCATGCATTCTCTCTTTACAGAAATTAGCTACCTATAAATTACAAACCAAAACATAGGATCAATATATATATATGCTTTGAACAGGTATAAATTCAGTAGTGTTAAATTTTAACATGGCTACAAAAAGGAAAATTATATTTCTCTCTAGAGATCAATTTCATGATACATGAAATTATCTTATAAGGAACTATTTTATGATTTTTTTTTTTCAATTCAATTTCCATCTTATAAATTTGTATAAATACATTACATATTAAAATATTATTATTGTATAATACCTAAAGAAATAATTTTTATTTTCCTCAAAAAAAGATCATTGTTTCCCTCAACACCTAGTTCAAAGGTTTTATAACTCAGAGAGCAATATTGTCATTACATTATTATAATGAATAATATTTTATGTCTTGTTGAACAATAATTTCACTTTTACCTTTATGTTCTTGTTAATATATAAAAAAAATAAGTCCATCATTTCAATTTTTAGATATAAAGACAATACAAAAATTAATGTATATTTTTTCTTTCTTGAAACTAAATATTTATAATGAGTGGAGAAAATATATTTGTTTAAAAAATATTTAAAGGATATGTAAAAACCATGATTAAACAATATATCAAGAAAAAATGCTCAAGAAACATATTATAGGCATAAAATAAATATTATCTCATTTTATGTTATCTCATCTCCTACCATTAAAGCATTAAAAAGAGAGAAGAATAAGAATTTATTTCTATCCACTTTACCAATCACATATCAGTCACGTCTCCAAGATCTTGTCTCCTACAACCTCGTCCAAATAATTTCATCTCATTTATCTTGTTGCTATTAATATAATCTCTGAGAATTTATATGTTGGTTAAAGAAGGATGTCCCTTCCTTGATTTTCTGAATTCAAACATTAGGGTTAAAATCCTTCTAATACATCAGGCTAATATAGGACGTGTGTTTAAGACCATCTGAAAAAAGACTTTGTATTGACTAATATGCAAGTTGATTTAAAAATACACTTGTCATCGAACAAAAAAAAACAGCACTACCAGCCCTTAGGGGTGTAGCTTAACTGATCAGACACTAGATTTGCTTCCTAAAAATCACCAATACAAGTTCCGCAAACCTCAGGGCCACTAAAAACTTATATGATCATTAAATTTAAGGCCGTGGGATTAATTAAAGTGCGTCCACACTGACCCGGACACCTACGTTAATCGAAAAAAAAACAACACTACCAAAATAAAATATTATTATTGAACACATTCTCATGACTTTGAAAATATCCAAAGTAAGTGTTTGCTCTCTTCAAGATGAAATTTAGAAATCTAAGAAATAAATGATTGAGTAATTAATATTTTAAAAGTGTAACCAATCAAATATATTTATATTCATGATTTTTCATCACTATTATATAATTTGCTTGTTATGTTACTAATATATCAATTTTGTAGCATAATTAAATTAATCTTTCATATAATTATTTGTTTATTGTTAACAATATTTTACTAAATATGATGTTACTTTTAATGACATGATTTAATATTTATCTATACATACAAATATCTTAGTATATGACATGATATTTTATTTTATATTATTTAGTATTTTACTTTATTGTAAATGTTAATATCTCTATACATTTTGTCATGTACTTGGTATCTTTAAGAGAAACATAATCAATAAAAATAGTTGTTTGTATTCTGTTTTATAATTGTTTGATTATTACATAAACTATCATGTGATTGTTTTGTTAGTGCTATTTTATAAATAGTTTGTCATCTTCAATAAAATTATGTGATGATGTTCTATCCTGTTTGCTCATAGAAATAGTAAGATATAGTTATTAAATATAAACAAGATTTATTAATTGGATAAAAAAATTCAATAATCCATCAACAAATTAATCTTTATGATAAAGATTTGAAATACAAAGTTCATATGAACTCAAATGAAATTATTAGTTTTTAAATTAAAAATTGTATTGAATTTAGAGAACACATTTTTTATGTTTTCCATAATTTTCTTTTTCAAGTTTTTCATTGTTTTTCAAATAAAAAGAACAAGTTAATAAATAATATAGTATTTTTCTTTTATATATAAGATTTTTTTTATCAATCTAGAACATTAAATTTTTCTTTTATATTTTCAAAAATTCTTTAATAATCTATTTTTATCGAGTATATATCTAATAAATTTTCTTCTTGAAATGAATAAGTAGTTTTTCATGAAAATAAATAAAGTAATATTTATACTTACACTATTATCATGAGAAAATAATTATTTTTAAAAAATTATTTTAGCAAAAAGCACTCTAGTTAAAATTTAAAGAATAATTTAATTTCAGTGAACTTCAATTAATATAATCCATTTTTTAATTAATTTTACTTAGGGTTAGTGTATTGAAGTCTTTTTTTTCTTTATATCTTGTTTTTTATTATTTTTTAGATAATGTGTTTATTTTTTTTTTCTTATTGTACTAACAAATTTCCCTTTAAAAAAAATATTTTTTCTTTATATATGTAATTAATAGTCCATACAAGTAACTAATACTTCAATTACATTATTATCAACATTTCATGTTGACGGATTATTTAACCATTTTAAAAACAAGCAATTGGATATTATCCTTACATAAACAAGGTGTAGAATGCTAGATATTTGAATGACTACGGTAAAGATCTTGTTAGGTGAGAGAGTCATATTTCATAGCCCTAGAAAAAAAAAATGAAATGAGACCACCTAACCATTGGTCTCGTGTCAAAATATACTAGTTTCTGTACCAGTATTTCACCTTGAAGCTAGATAAATTTTTTTTAATAAAATCAATGTTCAGTACTAAAAAGGAGTAAAAACATATATAAAAAAACACTTATGACAAACACATAAAATCATTAATTAGAGCTAACCAATATTTCCGTCAAACTCGTGGTCTAAATTAGATGACTAGAAAAAACATATATATATATATATATATATATATATATATATATAAACATGTGACTTAAGTCACTAAACATAAAGCACTCAATATAAAAAAATCATGAATTTCAATCTTAAAAAAAATTAAATGATAAAATTTAAAAAATAAATTTTAATCATACAAAAGGATTTTAAAAATAACAATTTGAAAAATAAAAATCAAGATTTTTATAAATACTACTATTAATAAGTAATATCATCACTATTATGATCATTATTATTATTATCACAATTATTGCTAAAATTATTATTATTAGTAATAATTAACCATCACAACCACTACCACAATTATTGTCAATATTATCATTATTTGTAATACTAAAAACATTCCTATTAATATTATTATTATTTTAAAAACTAACACCACAATCATTATCATTATTATTATTATTATTATTAATTTAATTAATATTGTTTTTATCATTATCATCAATAATATTTTTATTTTCATCACTATTTTTATTATTATTATTGAAAAAATAAAAATCATGAACATAATTTAAATGATAGAATTTTAAACTATAAAAACTTTAATAAAAAGGCTAAGAAAAACAATAAAAGAATAAAAAAAGGGACTAAAATGAATTATTATTATCATTGAAAAAACAAAAATCATATGCTTGATTGATTTAAAGGATTAAGTTGCAAGCCATAAAAACTTTGATAAAAAAACAAAGAGAAAAAAATTAAGAAATTAAAATAAAAGGACTAAATTGAAATAACTTATGTATGCAAATTAAAAATCAATGGTTATATTAAAAACAAACATAACTTCAAGAAAGGAAAAAATGACTAAAAAACAGCGATCAAAACTCAAATGTAAATTTAAAAAAAAAAAACTGTATTTATAGAGGTAGGAGAAATGAAGAGGAAAAAAAAAAGGATTGTTGACAATACACTCTAGATTTAGAGAACATGCCCCAACTATAATGAAATAGGAGATTGCGAATAATAATCCAAGATAGCATACAATTATTTTTTACAACTGGAACCGCTGCACACGCTAATGGCTTTTAAAATAAAAATTGTTATTTTAATAGTAAATTATGTAACTACTCTCAATCAAACTTACAACTAACAAAAAGAATTGAGATTAAAAGACTAAAATGCCCTTAACAATGAATTAAATATCTTACATTTAAGAGTCTATAAGTAATTCTACCATGTATATTAAAAAAAAACACCTAATTACCCTACCCGACACATTTATTTTTTTAGCTATGAGGCATTTTAGTTATTTTACTATTTATTAAAACATTGAATGGGCAACAATACCTCAAAACAAACGAGTAAAATGAGTAATGACTTATAAACCCTTGTGAAAATACCAAAACAAAGGCATTTATTTTTTTATGGGAATAGAAAAATATAAAGGGGACTACAATAAATCTCACATGTTTTTTGGTATATTTTTTATATGTGTGGCATGCAAAGAGACAATATCCATTCACCGCCCACATTTGCTATTTCTACCAAAGAACTAACCTTGCTCTACATATAGTGATATACCTATGGGCTCCGCCTTAAGTACTTTAAGGTTTTTTATCCACCTAAATTTAGATGAGGAAATAGCAAGGTTTTGAGTTTTTTAAAAAAAAAATAAATTAGATAAATGAATATGTTTTTAAACATGTACTCATTTGAGAGGGAAAAAAACTTCACGCCACCCTTCTCCCAAAAACCTAATATATCAATTTCTATTTATCCATTCACATGCTAGAATGAATCTTTTGTTTTCCAAAATAGAAAAAAATAAATATTTTTGTTAATTAACACCCTCTACAAATATATATTAGCTAGATAACATAAACAAAAAAAAATTAACAAGCTAACATAATTTCATATCATAATTAAAAAACATGATATTTTAAGATATTAATTAATAACATAGTATTTGAAAGAATTTGTTAACTAGACATCCACAAATTATAATAAGGAGATTTGAGAAGAAAAAAGTTCTAACAACAAATCAAAACTAAAATTATAATATCATTAGTACTACCAAAAAAATTTCAACATCACAAATTAAATGACACATCAAAATATAATCAGAGTAGAACACACTCTTCCCCTAAAGACAAGTAAGCAATTATATGAAAGAAAAAAAAATAGTACATAGAAGTTTTGATAACAACACTATTATCATGAGAAAGATCCTGACAAAATAAATTTAATGACATAATGACACCAAAAAAAATCTCCAACAAATATTAAAGTGAATCACACTTTTAATTTAAAAATAAATAAACAATTACAATTAAAAACAAAGAAAAAAAACAGGACTTCAAATGTTAGTCGAGGGTAAAAAATTCTTGATATTATTAGATTTATCTTATCATAACTTTTTTATATCAAAGTTTTCATAATTAAAATTTTATTATATCTCTAATATCTTATTTTTTTCTACCAGCCCGTTTAATATTTTTGTTTTTTAAAACCCCATATTTTCATAAACGGTTATTTTAAAGTATTATGTTTTGCAAACATAACATACACCAAATTAGGTTTAAAAAAAAATTCATAATTTTTCAAAGAAAAATAGTAATTTATTAAAAAAATTGAAAAAGCTGTGACGTAGGATGATGCATATGTGATGACGACCCCCACAGACACTCGTGACGCTAGACACACTTCTTTGATAACATCAAACGTCTGTCGCTTCTAGATATATGGACCACTCTAAACCAGATGCGTGTCTTAGCACGTCAAATCTCATTAAAATACAAATAAAAATGCTCCACAAAATTATTAGAGCTAAATACCACGTTTAGAGCGATTTGATCCAAGACCTATACTATCTTTATTTAATGAAAAACAAAATGCTTCCTGCCCCTTGTTTAATGATCGAATAATTTCATTTCTGACAAAATTATATTACCAGATATAAATAATTATATTGAAGGTTTTAAGTGTATTTAGTATTTTACTAAACGATTTGTTATGAAATGTAAATATACTGTAGACTGTAGAGTATTCGTACGTACCTGAGAGCCACCGTGACCATCATAGACACCAAAGAAATGGATGGGAGAGATCTCAGAGGAAGTTCTAGAACCAGGAGCCATACAACCTCCAACGTGATTGCACGTGCGAGACATAAAACACGGGATAACGGCAACTGCATCCTCCATCTCCTTCCGCCTCCCTATTACTGACGTGTAACCCCAGCTCACTCCTTTATTATTCCTCCCTACACACTTCTCTCTCTCCGTCACAATCGCCATCATATTTAACTCCTCCCTCGCCAAATCAACATCCCTCGGTACCACTACGGAGGTTGGAATCTCGCCGGAGCTCCCACTCGTCGTGGAAATATCACCCGAGCTGATGGTATTGATAGAACCCTCCGTGCTGCTTAGTTTGGAGGAGATTCCTGAGCTCATTGAAGCTAGCTCCAGGTCGTCTCTCTCGCGTTGGCCTTTATTTGAAGGGTCCATGTAGATCGGTGTGAGTGAAAGGGAGGAGAGAGTTTGGGAGAGGAGATAAAAAGAGAGGGAAATTAAGACAGCAGGAGAGTGACACGTGTTTGGGGAGATCTGAATCGATTACACACGCATCTTGAGTGTACTTCTTCTCATAAAGAAAAGAAATAGAGGGTCAAGTCAATCATACCAATGGTGTAAACAAGTCGTACTCAGTGTCTTTTTAACTATGCACCGCCACGTGTCTACTGGCGGTGCCACGGTGGTAGACTTTGGAGATGATGCTAGCTGAGAACGAGTTAAGGGAGAGGAAAGACTCTCTGCTTCGGTATGTATATTTAAGCACTGCACTCCATACAATTCGTGAGGTGTCAAGTGATGAGGAATCTAGGTACTTGGTAGGTGGACTCCAAAAGAGGTACGAAGTTCTACGTGGCAGGTTGGAAGGAAAGTGGGACACTGTTATTAGGTAGAATTTGACTTTTTTTTATTTTATATATATAGAAATGTGCTTAATTATCTCGGATTTTGATGTAAGGGAAAGCTGTGGTAGCCTAGCCTAGCCTAGCTCGCTAGTAATAATGATAACAAGAACGGATGAATTACCACGTTAGAATTCGTCTTTAATTAGGCAATTAAAAAGTAAGATCTAACGGTCTCAAATTGCCAGATCATTTGGGGCCGTACCTCAACGTTTAGGGAAGAGATTGAGGAATTTAAAAAAAGAAAAATGACACAGTGTAAAAAAATATATATTTTTAGGAAATAGCGTTCGAAGAGGATTCGATATCTTAAATTGTTTTTTTTTTTCAGAATAAGAATAATGGTTATATATATTATTAGGGTTTTTATTCTACTAAAAAAATCTAAGAATTGAAAAAAATTAAAATAGAATCAACTTTAGATTGTTCGAAACAGCTTTTAATTCTTTACTAAAACATTAAAATCATCATTTACTTATTTTTATGAGTTTTTCTATTATTTTTTTTATTACAAACAACCGACCAAATTTTCTTTAATAGTCTTTACTTTATCATAATAGGTAAAATTATCACCTAAATATCAAAAAATCAAGGTGAAAGAGTTTTATTATCTCTTAAATTTATGAGTTTTATTATTAAATTAATAAATTTTAAATTTTAAATTTTAATTTATAAATATTTATGTTGTCTTTGATAATTATATATTTTATTGATGATGAGATAACTTTGAGTTTTAAATGTTGTAATTGTGTATTTTTAATATATTTGATGTTATTTATAGAATTAATTAGGCTTGAATTAGAGAAATTATGTTTTGAATGATTTATTGAGTTACTAATTATTTAATAATATTACTTGAATTAAGATAAAGTTTGTTTTAATTGATCCAATTAGATAATTTTTTAATCAATTATGTTATTAATAAAGCTATGATTGAAATAAGAACCACTAGATTTTGCATTGAATTTCAATTAAAAAAATGTTATAATTAGGGATTTTTTCAATTAAAATCAATTAGTTTATAATTATTGCAATTAGATATTTTTCAAAGATATTATTAATTTAAAGTAATAAAAATTTGGGTTTATGTTAAAATGTATAATAATTTATTTTTGATGAAATAAATATTTTTATTTTACATAATGTCTTAAAACTTATTTATGTTAAACTTCTTTATGATAGTTCTATTGTTTTTTATATAAATTATAATATCATTTATATTAACAGAAATATTATGTTCATGCTTGTTAATAATCTAATTTACATATTGATTTATTTATGTTTGATTTTGAACTCAATGTTTTGTTGTGTAGCTATGCTAGAGCGTGTATATTCTTTATGTTTGGTAGTATATTTTTCACAAGTCTTAATGGATGCTTGTGCCCTTGTTCTACCTACCACCACTAAAGGATTTCGAATCTATTCCATTATATAGTTGGGGTTTAGGTGTCCATGCATGTTTGTATAGACATTTGTGCCAAATTATCTTGAAAAAAGCAAAGCAAGTTAGGGAATGTTTATTGCTTTTATAGGCAAAATAAATATAATAACTTTTTTTTATTTTTGTATTATGTTTTTTATGTTTGAGTTGGTTGCTAATTATTGCATTTTGTGTACATAAAGCTATGGTCATAGGAGCAATAATTGCTTATGTTGATTGTCACAAGCTGCACCGCAGCATCATCGACGACAATAAGGCTTTATCGTGCCTCCTCATGAGGTGTGGTGTTGTTAGGAAAGAAAAAAATTTCAGTTTAATCATAAAATTATGATAAAAGTTCAAGAGTCGTCACCTAGTATTATAGTCATTAGGAATTTATGGTCCACGAGAGTTTAGGTAAAGGACTAGTTGTGCAAGGAGAAGACACGTCACCCCTAGTGCACTCTACTTAAGATAAGCTACATTGTTATTTGATTGTTTTTTTTAGGTTAGGTTTTTATTTGTTAATATTGTCTATGGTTCAAGATATGTCTCTTCTCATGGGAGAGTCTCTACTTTATCGGGTTAAATCCTAATCATTCTAGAATCTAAATCTTAACATCATATTTATTTTACACCTTATATCTTTAATACCTGAGGGTGTACGTTATTGTATAGTGTTACACCCCGCAGATATTAAAGTCTACATATAAACCCTAAAAAATGATTGAAAAAGAGTTTTTGATATTTTGACAAAACCCTAATGGGTGATTATAAACTGATTACGATATCTACTTCGCATTTTAAAACATAAAAAAAATGCAATTTTTTAAAAGATGCTTGGAAACTATTTAGGATTTGGTCATATGCATTAAAATAAAATATATTTCTGTTTTCATTTTTTAAGGGAAATTATTTTAAAAGGTTTGAGAATTTTTTTTTTGAATTTTTTAGAAATTTTTCAGAGAAAATTGAGTATTTTAATATCAAATTTGTATTTTACACTGTAAATATATAACTCGCTATTATATAAAATTGGTAAGAAAACATTTGAAACAATCATAATTTTTTTGAAACGAGTTTTTAGTTTTTTTTTTGGAAATTTAGTTTTTTTTATATAAATATATATAATATTATAATAAATATGTGGGTTGAGCTAGACTTAGCCCATGAATGATTAAGTTGGGCTAATCTTGACTCGATAAATGTTTTTTTTCTTTTTAGGGTGAGCTAGACCTGGCCTAGTGATTAGTACTTAAAAGTGTATTTTTATCAAGGTTTTATATCATTATTTTGCACTTGAAGTATCAATAACTTTTTAACTAAATCATGTTTTATAATAACATGTCTAATAATATAAGATACCTTTAATTTGTGGTAAATT